GAGATACAAGGACCTCTAACACTAGAGAGGACAACTCCTTTATAATGAGTTAGACCATTGGTCTATCTAACCCGCCATCATCTACAACAAAAGACAGGTTTCAGATGGGAAAGGCCTAAGGAATGAATCAGGGATCTTTTGTACCAGTGGAAATTGTGTATCATTGAGCTGTAGTCGGTATCCTAACTTCTCCACACAACTGCTAAGCTAGGTTCCCCTTTCCGACGGGGAGCCTTAATGGTACCAAGGTGAAACAGAGTTAGCTGGACAGCAATTTCCTGTCCTCATCAGTTTCTGCAATGGTGTAGGGCTCTGATGGCATGCTATGAAATGATAAGACCACAGAGCCTTCTAGAAAGCTGCTCAGGGCTCGGTCACACCGGCAATAAGAACCACAGTTGAAACAGTTTTGGCAATATTTAAATCAATTCACACATTCCTGGCTACATGACGTACTGCTAAAACAGATTTTTTTTGGGGGGGGGGCTACAAAATCAGCTACTTACCTAACAACCATAACAATAGCAATAATGGTGTCATGTGACAGCGGCTAAAAATTTGTTTTATAATGTCTCTTCTGGATATGCTTATCTTGTTAGTATTGATGGCACCATCATGGAAGCTTTCTTTCTCTACAGAAATGTTCTTCTCTGTTTTCAGTTAAACACACACACACACAAGAGAGAGAGAGAGAGAGAGAATCCAGAAGAATGAAATAGTAATACCGAGAGTGGTCCACTTTGTGAGGAAATAGAAGGTGGTGTTAGAGGAAATTACAAAACTTGGCAAGTTGCACAGAGAGAGATAAAATGGCAGAAAGATGGTGCCTGAGTGTGTGTATATATATGTGCACAAGCCTCTTTTAAATATACTCTCTCCAATCTGAAATGTCAGTTGGTTTGCAAGTGGGACTCCCACCCACAGAGACCTGACACGATGCCACCTTTGTGGTATCAATAGCTCGTTTGTGTGCCGTTCTTTCCTAAACCACAGTTTAATTTTACATTGGCCCGAACACTGTGCTCTTTCTTAGTACCGAGTATTGAGTCGGCTTGTGTTTAACATCAGGCTTATCTTAACATTTACATTACTAAACCGTGGATTAAATCATGTGCTATGCAATACATAAGGAGATTTATTTTCTTGTTTTACTGATGTTTACACAGTGGTGAGCGAAAGAAAAAATAAATTAGACATGAAGTCGGGGGAAGTCACTCATCGGCTTGCTCAGCAATATAGACTGCAGACGTTATTTTATATGGAGAATGAAAGAACTGGTGTCCCCTGTGTAGTTGGGAAAAAAAAAACCTAACGAAGTCCCTAAAATATTATAAAATTGGTCAGTCAAATGTCAGTGGTAGGCATGTATCGAACAAACATCTACTGTGAAACCACCGGTCCATCTCAAAACTTGAGGAAAGGGCATATCTTTTTTTTTTTGGACTACAACTCCCAGAATCCTCCAACCAGCATTGCCACTAGACATGCTGTCTGGGGATCATGGAGATTACACATTTTCCAAGCTGTGATTCACCTGCCCCAACTTTCTCTTCTACACCGTTTCTGAGTCTTAAGTTGTCCAGATGTTTTGAACCTCCCCTTCCAGAAGCAACAGCTAGGTGGTCCATTAATTATGAAATCTACATCTGGAAGGCCAACATTTGGAAACCACGGATCTACACCGAGAAGCATCTCCTCTCCAGCACTTCCAGACAGGAGATTCTCCTATGCTTACTTTCAAAGGCCTTCTTGAACGTTAAACAGTCACCTCCAAGTTGAGCAACGTACCTTCTTCCATTGTGTGCTGATGGTCAAGGTTATTGCCAACAACGGTTTTGTAGGGCCTACTGTTTCACAACTTATGGGGCTCTATAACATAATGATTTTTTAAAAAAAAATATATACAGATTAGTTTGCAAGACCTGAGCAGAACTTACTGGAAAATACAGTGTTACTGGAGGAAGGGGGCAGTACAAAGAGAGAAAAATCTAATATGAGATGTTATTCGCTTGCAAGATCTGAGCAGAGCTGTTAAGGATAGGACATTTAAGCGATCATTAACTCATATAGTCAACACAATCAGAATGGCACATAACATCTT